GCCCCAATATGATTACCTTTAATTCCACTTTCCTGTCTGATTGCTCTAGCCACAACTTCCAGCATTATGTTGAATAGAAGTGGAGATAGTGGGCAGCCTTGCCTGGTTCCAGTTCTAAGTAGGAATGCTTTCAATTTTTCCCCATTCAATATGATGTTGGCTATGAGTCTGTCATATATAGCCTGTATCATTTTTAGGTATATGGTAGATCTAGTTGTGTCTCTTTAAGCCATTGGGGAATTGCAAAAGGATTTTCCATTTCCAACAGTTTTTGGTTCTGATTTCTTAATGCAAAAACAACTGGCTTTTATATCTATTCAGGCAACCTGCTAGTTGTATCACAGAAGAAACCTGAAATTCATTCAGGGATCTATGAAACAGGAAGGGTATTGCTTGCTATGCCAAAGTCCATTTTGCTTTAAATCAGCAGATCAATTTAGTCTCAAAATGACCATTTCTAGTGGCTTGGGTAATCACTGGGGTAGCACCTAGTATACAGTAGAAGCTCAATAAATATTGGTTGAATAACTATTAAGAAATAAATAAACACAATCACCACTTATCCTAACATCATACACAGTAAGTTTGATAATTATTCCCTATACATATGTATATATGTTTATGCACACACTCATTTATATATTTAAGTCCTATTTTAGGCAAATACAAACTTAGTTACTTGCTCTTTGGAAAAGCAGTGAAATCTTTGATGTAGAGGTAGTAAGGTCCAGTTCCCTGGATGTATTTAAGTTAAATAGGGGTGGATATTGAAGGTGATGGAGGCTCAGTCTCAGATGAGCTATTTTAAAATTATTTCAGAGTATTACAGGGGTACAAACTTTTTGGTTACATAAATTGCTTTTGTACAGTTTGAGCCAAAGTTATAAGTGTGATCATCACCCAGATAGTGCGCATTGTACTTGTTAGGTGTGAATTTTCTTATCCCTTCTTCCCCAATCCCACCTGCTTGATTTCCGATAAGTTTTATATCCATATGTGCACATAAGTGTTGTTTGATTAGTTCCAATTTAATAGTGGCCTTTAAGGTCTCTTTCCACCTGTAATTTGTGGGATGTGAAAGTGTGTAAAGTGCCTCAGGCCTTCCATCCTGTTCTTGATAATTGAACAATGGACAAGGACAGATCAAATGCCACTGGTTATAGCTGTTGTTTGTTTTCCTTTGGGATCAAGAGAGCCAGCCCTACTGTTTTGAAATATTTTAGATATATCTTTGAATTTGGGAAAGGCTGATAGATTTGTCTACTATTTCAAATTCTGGGCACTAAGACGAAATGGGGCAACCAATAAAATGAAAATAAAAGCTCAATCTAAAGCATTGGAGGTAGACCAGATTTCTAGAGCTCTGAGATCTGCTTGTACACGGGGCTTGCAAATGCATCCCCACTGTTCCAAGCTGATAGTTATAAAATCATGTTCTGCAGTGAAGACATTAAGATAGAAGGTAATTGATAGTGTGGCTTTTACAAGCCTGGCCCTAGGCCAAAGATGGCCTGCGATGATTTAGAGAACAGTCATGTTTTAGATATCCCATGCTGCATTTTCCAAAAAATGAATGTTACCAACATTTACAACTTAGAAGTTTTCATATACATAAAAAATACATATATTCTGCTTCTCCAGAAAATCCAGAAAGACTTTCTACACTGGATCCACATTGCCTCAAGGCAATAAAAGATAAGATCCAAAAGTGTCTGCCCTACCCCCTTTAATGGGACACATAGTCCCAGGATACTCCTACTTGGTCCTTTCTCTCATTTCTGTTATCTGCCTGGCTGCTGGAGGCATTTGCTTTGGTTTCACCTCTGCAGACAAGGTTGTAGCTCAGGAGAACTGTGTCCTGGCCACCTAGCATGGCCAGCAACCTCTTTGCTATGTGACTGTGCCTTGAACACAGGGAATGTATGTCCTGTTACAAGTTGTTACCCCTTGGCACAGTTTCTTCTGCATAATAAACTCAAATCCATTCTCTTCCTTCTCCCATTTCACACCTGCCACTTCCTGGTTTTTCTTCTTTTTTATCCCCCAAATCTGGACACTTTTTTTTTTAAGCGGAAAGAGCCGCTATCAATAATTACAGTTGACCCTTGAACAATGCAGAGGTTAGGGGCACTGACACCCATGCAGTTGAAAATCTATGTATAACTTTTGACTCCCCCCAAAACTTAACTACTAATAGTCTATTGTTGACCAGAAGTTTATTGAAGACACAGTCAATAGATGTATTGTATACTATTCTTACAATAAAGTAAGCTACATAAAAGAAAATGTTATTAAGAAAATCATAAGGAAAAGAAAATATATTTACTACTCATTAAGTGGAAGTAGATCATCATAAAGATCTTCATCCCTGTCATCTTCACGTTGAATAGGCTAAGGAGGAAGAGGAAGAGGAGGAGATGGTCTTGTGGACTCAGGGGTGGCAGAGGCATAAGAAAATTCACATAAAAGTGGACCCACGCAGTTCAAACCCATGTTGTTCATGGATCAATTGTACTCTGGGACAATGTGTAAATTGAAACTATTTTGGCTATATTAGTTTTCTAGGGCTGCTATAAAAAAGTACTATAAACTGAGTGGCTTAAAACAACAGAAATTTATTTACTTTTTACAGTTCTGGATGCCAGAAGCCTAAATCTAGATGTCAGCAGGGTTAGAGATTCTGAAGCAGAAATTTGTTCAATGCATTTTTCATAGCTTCTGGAGGCTCTGGCAACACTTGGTGCTCTTTGGCTACTAGGTGCATCCCTCCAACTTCTGCCACGCTCATTACATGACATTCTTTCTGTGTGTCTGTGTCTCTGTTCTCTCTTCTTCTTAGGACTCCGCTCATATTTGATTAAGGGCAACCACGACAGTCTCATCTTAACTTGATAACATTTGCAAAGAACTTATTTCCAAATAAGGTTATATTCACAGGTACATGAAGTTAGGACTTCAACATATCTCCTAGAGGACAATCGAACCCATATCAAATGGGATCATTTGGTCCTACTACCACAGGCCAAATGTAACCCTGCAAATTGCCCTTCATTTGTCAAAATGTGTCTGCCCGTCACCCACCCAATCAGACTTCTAAGCTCTGAAAATTTCTCCTTCCTCATTCTGCTCCCTCTGTGAATGATCTTGGTATCTTATTCCATGTCACTGCTGGGTGAAAAGATATCTGGTTAAATAAATTCACAGTCTGGAATGCTAAACTATATTAACTCTCTAGAGTTTATCTGCATTGTCTAATTGAAGGTGCTTTCTGGATTATAAGAGTAATATATATTCAGTGCATAAGATTTGAACATGAAATAAAAGTACCCAAAGTTTGAATTATACCACTGAGAAACAATTATTAATTTGGTTCATTTTCTTTCTTCTAGTTTTTATTCTTTGTATTTTAAAAATAAAATTGTATAATTTTATATATTTTTATACTTAAGCATTCTTAATATAAATTCTATTTTATTACTAATAATGTTAATATTCAATAGCTATTTATTTATTTATTCATATTTCTATATGCCAAGTAGTACTCTAAGGAGTTAGAGTGCACTGTCTAATCTATTCCTTATACTATTCCTAGAGGTAAGTACAATTATCCCTAGTTTATGAATGAGAAACTGAGGCAGGGTAAACCTAAAGGAATTTTTCCAGGGTGTACAACTAGTAATCTGTGGAATTTGTAGAATTTGTAGAATCAGTCTTCCAACCCAGCTCATCAAGCCCCTGAGCTTGCACTCACACCATTGTGAGTAATATCTTATCTTATAAATAAGCCGTAATTCATTTTTATTTATATGAAAAAAAAGGATTTTCAAAAAAGGATTGGATTGGATAATAAGATAAAAGCAAATACATCTCGTATCATCTCATCCTCCTCACAGCATCCCCCTCCCCAAAAGAGACCTCAACACTTGCAAATCCCAATCCTAAATCATCAAACACACACCATCCATACAGTTGTGCAGTCTAGAGAATTACTCTTCCCTCTTTCTGTCTGTCTCCTCCCCCCATAACTAACCTGTTACCAACAGGCTAAGAAGCCAGTTTTGCTTCTTAGATAGCTCTTTAAACTATCTTCTCTGCATCTCCTCCTTTGTACCAGGGGAACCTGGTATTGTACCAGCTCTGCTCATTACTATCTTTGATTGTTGGGGACTCTTTCTCCTGTTTACTTTATTCTGAGAAGTTAGAAATTGCAATATGAATGGTCCAAGTTGATGCAGTAGCTATTAGTTCCTCATTGGAAGTAAATTAGGTAGAGGAACCCACTTCAACTGCTGGATAAGAATCCAAGTGGGAGGCATAGCTTTTCTCTGCATGTTTTATAATATACTAGAGCAATTTTAAGCAACTGAGATTGTTTTTTCCTTTCTGACAGTGCATCAAGGGGAGTGTCTTGAGCAGTCAAGATTGGGCTATGGGGCTGAAAGATTTAGATTCAACTCTGCTGATTAATAACTGTTTTTCTTATAAAATTAGATTAGGGTCTGCCCTAATACAGCATAACTTTATCTCAACTTGATTACATCTTCAAAAGCTCTGTTTCCAGATAAGTTCACATGCATAAGTACTGGGGGTTCGGAATTTAATATATGTTTTTTGGGGCACAGGATTCAACCCATAAGCCTAACCTAGCTTTCTGCCTTATAAAATGGAGATAATCATACTATCTGCTAGATACAGTTCTTGTAAAGATTAAATGACAAACACGTCCAGGGCCTCACACTATGCCTAAAACACAGCTTGAACTCAACAAAAGCATTCCTAGTCTTCTTCCTCCCTTTCCAGACCTTTCCCTCCTCTTCCTCTCCTACTCAGCTACCCTGGTCCCCATCTTCTTTGTCATTTCTCTTTGCTCAGGGTAGAAACACGAAATAAGCAACCAAAAGTCCATATGCCACCTGAGTTCATCCTTCCTGCCAGTTATTTAGTAGGTGATATTGAAGTTTATTTTTTCAAACTAATGTGTTTCCCTTTTATATTTCCAGGAAGGATTCCGAGTCCAATGGCATATAAAAGACTACTTTGCACTCACCAGTATATAATCCCCGGGTCTTCTGTAAGCACAGTTTCTTGTGAAGAAGAAAGCTACAGAGAAGCCTGTTCCTCCCCAACACCATCCATCGAAACAGATGAGGCCCCCCTGATCTTTACTGTTGAGGAAGAGATTAAGAATGGAGCCAAAGGAGCATCCAAGCTGGCCTGGAACAGTCCATTTGTGTGGCAGTCAATGGCACAAAAGCCTATCCAGCCATTCTCGGTAAATCCTGTTCACCTGGAGGCTGTCGGCATGCACATCAATAGACACAGGAGACTTCAGAACCAGCCCTTGACTGATTCCAAGGGAAATGCTGGTAGGTATCACAGTGTGGTTCCTAACTCTTTTCTTGTTTCAACTGGTCACATTTTGTTTTTAACATCAATATAAACAAAAATTATTGACTTAATGGCAGGTCCTATTCTAGAAGGTATGATAACTGTATTAGTCAACCCTTAATGAACATATGCTTGCTGCCAAGTGTTGTATTGAAGGAGAAAACAGGTGTGAGTTGATGACAGGTAACTTGGTGCTTCAGGTATTGCACCCGAGAATGACACCTGTTAATTACTGTTATCATCATTCCAGCCCCATTTATTAAACTCTTACCATGTTCCAGACACTATGTTAAGAATTTTATGTTATTTTATGAAATCTTCATATAACACTCAGGCAGATAATATTTATTATTCCCATTTTACAGATGAGGAAGCCATGAATTTATAGCACAGGATAATGTATATAATAATGAAGTGTCTTCAACTCACACGTTGTAATAAAAGGAATGATTATAAGTAAGGAGATGCCCCAGAATGAATGAGCTTTGGAACCAGAAAGATCTGGGCTCAAATATCAGTTTTCTTCCATTTTAGCTGTGTAGTCACGATCAAATCCTGTACGTGTTCTTTGAGCTCAGGTTTTTCATCTGTAAACTAATGACAATTACTACTTTGAAGAGATGCTGTCATTAAAGGATTGATATAAAGTTTCCTGAACATAGCAGGGACTGAATGGTGCTAGTGATGATGGTGGTGGTATTTGTAGTGCTAGTGTTCACACTGGAGGAAAGAAAATGTAAGGAAAAAAACTGCTTGTCTCTAAATAGTCTATGAACCATTATGTGTAATAGAAGAAGGATTAGACTGATGTTATGTAGCCTTTTTTTTTTTTCTTTTTAGGAAACTATTGAGGTAGATTTTGCTCCAAATGTTTGTACAATTCATTGGAATTGGCCAAAGAAGAAAGAGATAGATTTTGACTTAATACAAATGAGAACTTGCTTTGACCTAGAGGAGAACCTATTGCTTGAGATGGAAGAGCTCCAGAAGGGGGCTGGGAGACCTTCTTCCCAAGAGGCTGAGTCAGAGATTCCTTCATATCTGGGAGGGTGGGGCTGAGGATGGGAAGCCTATGATGCTGGTTGGTTAATGTTTTTTTGGAGTCTTACTATGTACAAGGCAATGTGCTAAAATCTGAACATACACTTTCAATTTTGATTCATATGGCCCTCTTCTGAGATGGGAACTGTTATTTTCCCATGGTTTAGATGTGAAATCTGAGGCCCATAGATATTTGTAACTTTAGGGCTGGAGCTAGAATTCAAGCTTTTCATTCTTATTCTGGGTCACAGCGTTCCTATATTAAAGGTCAAAATATGACAGTAATATAATAGTTGTTGGGTATTGAGCACTTACTATGTACTTGACACTCAACGTTTTATCACATTCTTCCCTCTGCTACTTAGTTTTGTTTTTCACTACAAGTCTTTAATGAAATGTTACCTACTTGGGTCTTTTCTAACTTCCTTTCTTGCTTTAGTTTTCTCCATGGAATTTATTAGCAGCTCACATTTATAATTTTTTCATTTGCTTACTTATTGGTCTACTTCCTCCCTTCTTCTTCTCCCACAAGTAGAATGTAAGTTTTATAAGAGCAGGGATATTGACTGCATTATGCCCTTCTGTAACCCAATGTCTAGAATAATGCCAGGCACAAAATAGGCACAACACTCAAATATTAAAGAATGAATAAATGAATGAACAAACAATCCCACTAGCAAACCTCTAAAGTAGGTAATGCAACCCCTATGCTTCAGATAAGGACAAAGAGACATAGGACAGGTGATGGCCAGGATTCAAATCTATGATGGCCTGACCCTGAAGCTTTGTTTATTTCACCATACTACACTGCCTCCCTAAAACAGTCTGTTGCAAATGTATCATTACCAAATTGCTTTCAAGGAAGGCATTTCGATTCTTTGGCTCAAGACAGAGGACAACATATTCTGCCTAGGTCATGTCCTGTTGCTCTAAATTCCAGAGCCACATCCATATTCCCTGGTAGATTCCTCTTGCACCAAATATTGATGCAATGAATGGTTCATCTGCCAAGACTGGAAATCCAAATAAACAGCTATTAAGCATCTAGTTTTCACAAAGCAATGGGTTTGAAAGCTTTCACTTACCTGGAGATACTAAAATGCCATTCCACCTTTATTACCAGGAAACCATTCTCATTGGAGAAATCAGATTCACTAAAAATTTTTCTCTGTGGCTTGGGTATATTAAGTGTATAGTGGGAGGTGACTGTGTGTGATGAACTAAACTGAATTATTTAGAGTTAGACATACTGTTTGACATCTACTGTGAATTTTAATTATTTTACTTATTTTTTGAATTTGTGAATGATCTCATGGGATGTTCCAAATATTCTAGACATCCACATGCTATTCAAAGCCTTTTAAAAACTTGTAGAAAATGGTCTAAAGCACATAAATTATCTTACTTCACTACTGAAGAATTAGACTTTAATTTATGTAGGTCAATGGGCAGAATGCCTCAGGTAAAAGTTTGAGATTTTATATATAAATATACATTATATATTATAATTTATATGTTACATATAAAATATATAGAAAATATTGAAATACATATATTCATATATCATATGAAATACATATATATTCATAAAATACACATATATTCATATATTGCAGTCTCGGCTGTACTGTTATAAAAAGTTACCACATCTTTTACATGAAAAAATGATTTGGTTGGGGAAAGAAAGAAAAAAGAAATTGAACCTCTTATCAGTATTAGAGTGTATGTGTGTGTTGTATGCAACTAGCCTCAGGTTAATTCACTGTTTTAATCTTCAGTTGGTTGGCAATTTTTAATAAAATCCTTGAAGTAACTGCCTCTCGGATTTTAAAAAGTCATCAATTGTCTGTCTAAATGGGCTGTAGACCCATTTGTTTTTGCATGTCTAACTTCACTTAACGATTATCCATTCACAAACCTTTCCCAAATTTAGGAGTTGGGGCTCTATGTTAGTCACCAATTCTTCTGTTTCTCTCTCCTTAAAAAAGTTTTCCCGGAAATAAAATGTTTTATAAGGATTCTACACACACACACACACACACACACACACACACACCCCATTTTGGTGGGGGCACAGTTGGCGTTTTTATCATCTCAAATGTGAAGAGGCACGTGAGGGTAATGCCGGGGGATATCTCCCCGCCCCTGCCCACACGACACACGCTGACTCCTCAGACGCCCACTCGCCGGCAGAGGCTTGTTTTTGACGCGTGGGCGGGCGCGGCCCCGCACACTGAGCGCCACGCCCGCCCCCTCTGCCTTCCAGGTGCCGGCAGGAGACCCTCCACCGCCTTCAGCCTCGGCAGCGTCCCCGGCCCCGCCGCGAGACGGCCCTTCTCCGCCATGGGCCTGTACCGGAGGAGCCAGACCCCGCTGTCGCCGCCGAGCGCCAGGCACAGCCCCTTGGAGCCCGAGCTGGAGGAGTGGGCGGCGGGCGCCCTGGCGCCCCGCGACGCGCAAGGCGGGCTCTGGGGCGCGTCCGGAAACGCGGCCGGAAGAGGCGCGGTTGCCATGGCACCGGAGATGCTCCCCAAGCATCCCCAGCCCCCGGGGGAAAGGAGGCCCGGGGCAGACCCCTCCCTGCACGGCGACCTGGCAGGGGAGCCCCTTCCTCTGCTGGCCGGTCCTCTCACCCAGTTCCCCTCCAAGAGGTTAATAAAGGTCTGCTCCGCGGCGCCCCCCCGCCCGCCCCGGCGCTTCCACACGGTGTGTTCACAGGCCCTGCCGAGGCCGGTGGTGAATGCTCACTTGCACTGACCGCTGCGCGGGGATTGTTCCGCGGGGGCGGCCCGTCTCCCGGTCAATGCCTGCGCAGAACAACAGACAGGGCCTCAGATGGACTGGTTTCCACAGGACCATTGTCAGGCTTTTGTGAAGCAGTTTTGAACCTAATAAATAATGTCAAAAGTCTCTAGCGCAGCCAAAAATGTTCCTTTTGAAGCATTTCTAATGGTATTTTTGTTCCGCGGTGTCTCCCAGTGTTACAAAGCATCCGAGCCTCACAATAGGGATGGGGTACATCGCGTGCCGCTTCGCAACGTGCCTCCTGGGACGGTGACGACCCCTCTTTGTTTTGCTTTCGCAGGTAAACGGTGTCACTTGCCAACCTCGCCTTTGGTTTAAGGATGTTTTCTAAGGGGGCTTTGGAATTTCTAAGCGGAGGTTTGGAAAACACAATTGAATGTCTGTAATTTAATAGTTAACATGAAATTTGATTACTCCCGAAGTGCCCAGGGGAATTCCTCAGGCTATATTGAGGTTTTTATGTCAGAAACCTGAAGCTGGATCCTAGTTTGAGGCCCTGAAACGCTTGGAACAAAGTTTAATGTAAAAGACCTGCTGAACTTGCTGATTTGCAATAGAGCATATTGCAGCAGCTTAGGGAATGTTTTATCAGACTGATCATTTTAGGCAATATCTTTGATTTTGGTTAACTTAACAGCTTAACCTAGCAGCTTTTTTTCCTGATGCAATGTTTACGCCAACTCTATCAAATGATTTTATGAGTTTAGTTTTTCTCTTTTTAATGTACTGTTTTTAACTTTCAGAGAGAAACAAAAATCAATGTCACACACACACACACACACACACACACACACACACACACACACACGTTTATAGTTTTTCATTTACGTTTCTTGCCATTTTCCCACAGGCTTGGATTCATAGGGGCTGTAAAAATCTTACTGCATTTACATATTTTTTGCTTCAGTTCAAATTAATATGTATAGTATGCCTACATTTAAGACATCATCATGTCTCAAGTCCAAATTTAAGTCTCAAAGTTTCAACAGGAATGAAATGTTATAAACAATAACTGCCTAACATTTAGGAGTCTGCTGAGTACTTTGAAGACCTTTAAATTTCTTTAAACATCAGCATTCCTCATGAATAATGCACTTTAAAGAAAAATCCCCAAACTTTAGAGCTGTCTTAGTTCCAGATTAATATTATCTTTATAATAAATAAATTTGTTTATTTTTACTTTTTATCGATTAAAATGGTTATGTTACAAGACAATGTGCCAGTTACCAGTGGTGATTGTTACTGGTTTCCTGAAGACATAATGGCATTTTCTCATCAGAGTTCACGTGACAATCATAAATTCTACTTCATGCCATTTGGTTGGGGAGTATTGTGTGGGAAAATCCATGAATTTTATGTAGAATTTTGATTCTGGGATATTTTAATTTGCTATGTAATAAATGAGCTACTACAACTGATTTCTTTTCAGGTCAAGAAATCACTCCTCTAAGTTATTCTAGAACAACCAAAAATTTGCAATGGTCAACTCCAAGAATAGAAAATGTATTTGATAGGGTACATGGATTCCCTCCGCTGTAGAACCGCAATTTAGTGAAGATGTAAAATATGTGGTATACTATATTCTAAAGCAGTTTCCCAAAGTGTGTTCCATGGAGCACTAGTACCAGAAAAATACTTTGTGAAATGGAAAGTTCATAGATAAATATGTCTGAGAGATGCACCCTCTTAGAGAGTCATAGTAATGCATTAGGTCTCTGAGAAATCCCACAATGAAAAAAATCTGAAAAATTCTGTCTAACCCCGAATCCCAACTTTATTTAATCAAGGAACCATCATAGGTGTGTTTGTGCATGCATATGTATGTATTTTTTTTAAAAAATGACCCTGTCAATATCTTAGTGTCCTGTGGAACACATTTGGGAAAACATTGCTCAAAACTCTATTCTAAATATACCAGAATCTGCATAGACTGATAGGGTTCAAGGTAAGTATTTCTTTTTTTTAAATAAGTGAGATAAGAATCAGAGCTAAAGAAAGAAGCCCTCAGGAACCCTTTTTTCCTTGGAGGAGTGTGATGAGCTGTCTCTGGTTATTTGTCCTCATTTGGGAGAAAGTTAGTTGGTTTAGCCTTGGCCATGCTTAGTGATGGATGAGAAGCATTTTCAACTCTGACTGTCATCATGAGCTAAAGGTGCTCAAGTCCTTCAGAATGACACCTCCTTTTGTGCTAGGACTTAGACACAAATGTGCCACGGTAAACATAGTTAAATTTTTCTCAGCACTGTTAGTTCTCCAAACAGTGCTGAGTTAAGTAGCCATAATTGAAGATGAATCAATTTTAGGAAATAATATGTGTTTATGAATAGCACAGGCAATGAGGACTAAAGCAAGGCCCAATAGTATAAAATAATTGTTGTATAGGTTCTGAATTACTGCTTGCTTTTATTCAGGAGTATGTGATTTGACTTATGGTGTATTTATTACTACATGCTTTGAGTTACCTTTTAAAGGATGTAATATGTCACTTTTTATGTTTTTATGAAAGTTACATAGGAAAATAGAAATTAATAAATTTAAAAATTTGGTGCATTGAAGAAACTAAATATTTCAGACAGTGTCTAGTGAATACTGTTAACAAGTAAGGATTACTTTTATAACATATAAAATAAACAATAATTATAATGAGAGCAACAGTTATTGTGTATTATGTACCAGGGATTGTTCTAGTGTATTCGTTCATTTAGTACTTACAGTGGTTTCATGAAGTATCTACTATTATTATCTCCATTTCATAGATGATGAAGCTTCATTTTTAATGATAATAATATGTGTATATATACAACTAAGCTTTAAAAGCTATATTATATATTATGAAATTTTATTTTATATATTAAGCTATATTATATGTTATATGATTAAAGCTAGCATATGTGCACATATGAATATGTGTGTGTGTTTCAACAACATCTATAAATCAGGTTCTATACCACACTGTTGGTACACATACATGAGGTGAGTATAGAAACTCTGCGTAAACCCCCTCACCTCCTGATAATGTGGGGGAGAGTGGGAGATGGTGATTGTGGGTTGACAGCACAAAATACATTTGAACTCTTTGAAGAGTGAAGCGGGATAAGAGATTATTATCACATCATTCTTTTTGTTTGAAACAACATCATCCCCGTGAATGAAGGCTCAGAAAATAACGGAAGGGAAGGCGGTTTTGAGGTTGGTGAAAGACAGCAGTGCTTTTTAAGATTATTGGGGCTGACCAACATCTGACTTGAGATTTTGGGATGGTGGGATGTTGTAGTGGGAGCATTAGGGAACGAGCTAAGGTGCTGGGGCTGACCTGGATCTGAAGAGCCAAGGATGTGTTCCTGCAAATGTGACCTCGACTTAGTGTCGCCCCCACCATTTGGCCAGAGTTTCTTTACTGTTACATTGGTATGACATGCTTTGTTTGCTGCAAAGGACAATTTGGGGATGAAGTCTGCTATCACATCAAAGCATTTTGAAAAGTAATAGTAGTATACAAATGCAAGTCATTATTTTATGGCTAGTATAATGATAATTAGTGCGTCTATTATCATTTTATGCAGGGCTAATTCAAGGCCTTATAGATCCAAGTGCCTTCCTCTGACAATGAGTACTATTTCTGGTGACGGTGTCATTATGTTCCTCTCTGAGAATTTTCTATATACTATATTCTTTACCTTCAGCACCATACTGTGAGGTCAGTACTATTACCCATTTACCAGTGTGGAAACTGAAACACTGATAGACAAACTGATTTGGCCAGTTTGGAGGCAGTTTGCCTCCATCAGCCATGCTCACAAACACAACACCGCAATATCTTCCACAAAGCAAATTCTATATTAAAAAACAATGTATGAAGTTGATAACAAACTATTCCATTTATTAATATAACCTCCAGTTTGGAAAAGTTCAGTTGAGATTATAGAATGCCAGCTTGCAAATGTGATCTAGTCCAACTCTCTTTGTAAAAGACTCTAAAACTACTCAGACAAGGGGAGGAATAAGGTAATGTTTTTGTAACTTCTAATGTGACCTCGAGGATTTGAAGTCATGCAGGGACCCAGGAAGAAGCTGTTTTTTGGGGGAAGACTTGACATTAGGAAAAATGCCCCAGAATTCTTAAGGTACGTGGGGTCCCTCTGGCCTAGTTCAAGGTCTTTGTGAAATGTGATTCCCTGTGTCAATTCTTTTTCACACATTCTTTTGCCATGTTTAGGCTCCAGACTCCTACTGCTTCTTTTATACTCCTGCACCCTGTATTTTCCCTCCTCTGTGGGAATCAATCTGATTTTGTAAGTCAGTGATATTGAGGTTGTTGTGAAGTGTTTATGGGTCCTCACTCATCCCGATAGTCACTGTGAGAGATTTGAGAAGTGTGATGCAACTTAACCAGCATTTAGAGCACTCACCACCTGCCAGGCACTGTCCTTGGTGCTGGGTATGTCTACTAAATAGGACACAATCCTCTTCCTTGAGCTCAACCTAGCATTAGACTTAGTTCTTCCATTTATCCATTCTGACAATTTACTGAACATCCACTATGCACTGGATATTTTTTACGGGCAGTGAAGAGCCATTTTGATCAAGTAAAACCTAGATGAGGAAACATAAAATAATGGTGCAATAATATCCAAGTCTATGATCCTTTAACCAGAATTCTGAAATCCAAAATCACTGAAATACTTCTGTGGTGTATTGTTATCCCCTTTTACACTACTGGAAACTGAGAATAAAGAGATTAAGTTATTTATCCAAAGTCACATGGCCTATACAAGGCAGAGCTGGGCCATAAACCTAGGCAGGCTGATGGGAACTTGCCATGCAGCTTCTCTCTAATGGGCTTTTAAGCTTTCTTTATTCAGGATATCTAAGAAATTGCACTAAAGTAATAACTAAGGTTAAAATATACCCACCCATCTCCAGCCATTTGCCAATCATCTGGCTAAATACTATACATATTAAAGTACATCCAGAAAATATAATTCTTAAATATGTAACAGCCTGCATTGGAGTTAGCACTGCTTACATATTTCACATCATTTTTTTAAAAAAATCACATTTTCTCACTTTGCCCTAAATCATACTTATCTTTCTATAAAGTGTGG